AGCGCGGCGAGGGCGCAGCGGGGCCCTGCGCGGAGGGGGCGCGCGCCGCGGCGCCTCTTCGCATTTCCCCTTCAGGTGGCGCGAAACTTTGCGCCTTGGCTTTTGGCAGCTTGTGTTCCCCACCGAGGCTTCTCTGGGAGGCCATGCCGAGGTGGATTCCTGCGCGTCCGTGGGGCTGACTCCCTGGCTTCGCCTTCCCTGGTCCCGTGAAGCGGGGGCACAGCGGTTGCCTGGTGGCCGTTTCACCGAGTGCCCCGCGAGGTCCCAGAGGTCGCCCGAGGGGCGTGCGAGGGTGTCTGCCCCCCGCACGGCGCTGGAAAGAGTGGTTGGGGTAGCGAGCGCCGCGCCAGGCTTTAGCGCCCAGAGACCCTCCTAACTCAAGGCCGCCCCCTTTGTGTGCCCCTAACGCAGGCCGCCGTCACCATGCCCCTCAACGTCAGCTTCGCCAGCAGGAACTACGACCTGGACTACGACTCGGTGCAGCCGTATTTCTATTGCGACGAGGAGGAGAACTTCTACCAGCAGCAGCAGCAGAGCGAACTGCAGCCGCCGGCGCCCAGCGAGGATATCTGGAAGAAATTCGAGCTGCTGCCCACCCCGCCCCTGTCCCCCAGCCGCCGCTCCGGGCTCTGCTCGCCCTCCTACGTGGCCGTCGCGTCCTTCTCCCCCGGGGGGGACGACGGTGGCGGCGGCGGCAGCTTCTCCACAGCAGACCAGCTGGAGATGGTGACCGAGCTGCTTGGCGGCGACATGGTGAACCAGAGCTTCATCTGCGACCCGGACGACGAGACCTTCATCAAGAACATCATCATCCAGGACTGCATGTGGAGCGGCTTCTCGGCCGCCGCCAAGCTCGTCTCGGAAAAGCTGGCCTCCTACCAGGCTGCGCGCAAAGACAGCGCCAGCCCGAGCCCCGCCCGCAGCCACGGCGTCTGCGCCACCTCCAGCCTGTACCTGCAGGACCTGAGCGCCGCCGCGTCTGAGTGTATCGACCCCTCGGTGGTCTTCCCCTACCCGCTCAACGACAGCAGCTCGCCCAAGCCCTGTACCTCGCCGGACTCCTCCGCCTTCTCACCGTCCTCAGACTCTCTGCTGTCCTCCACCGAGTCCTCGCCACGGGCCAGCCCTGAGCCCCTGGTGCTCCGCGAGGAGACCCCGCCCACCACCAGCAGCGACTCTGGTAAGTGCTGGGCGAGGGCAGCTGAGTGTCCTTCCCCGTGGAAGGCTACTTGCCAGACGCTGCCCTTCTTTCATATTTGGAGGGAGAAATTGGGGTTGTGGGAGCTCTTTGGACCCCTGAGATGTAATGCCCCCCCCACACCTTTCCCTAGACCTCCCTGGTGGCCATGTCCGCCCCTCCCGCCCCTTAGGAATTTCATTGGGGTTTTTCAATCTTCTGGCTTATCTTGCAATTCAATCCACTCCTTTTACCTCTCAGGCATTGTAATTGCCCTGGAGGGGGTGTGAATGGGGATGAGAGAGAATTGGCCTTTAGGAGAGTGAATGAATTGCCTTCCTCTCCCCCACCCCCTCCGGAGAGGAAAGACTAAAATGTGGTAGGTTAAGGACCTACAAAAGGCCAAGCAGCCTCCTGCTTCAGCCTCAGCTCAGGAGCTAGTGAAAGTGCCTTAGGAGTGCAAGGACTGAAAAACTGGCCTTTTCCCAGACTGTTTGAACACTTGAAAGGAGATCCTTGCCAAAAATTGGACTTCATTTGACCTGCCCCCAACCCCGAGGACTTTTGGCAAAACTAGAAGGCAGTTTTTTCCCCTTCTCTCTTGCACTTCCAGTAATGTAGGAAGTTGCTGGAGTCCTATCAAGAGCGTTGACGCGCTCATTCACACCCCCTGAGGGGTTCTGGGTAAAGTCCCTCCTTAACAGGAGGTGCTTGGGAATGGATTTGCTTTGGGTGTGTCCTAAGCTTCATTAAGTCTTAGGTAAGAACTGGCATCGATGCCAATGCCGTACCCTGGTGAATTATAATTTGCTTGCCTGTGCCACAATCCCAGCTGTCCTCCTCTTTATCTCGTCTTTTTGGAGAAAACACAAGGGATGATGGGCTATGCTTGACTCTTGGGGGTCATCCTTCCCAGCATCTTCTCAGTACACCAGTGCTTTCTATTTGGGTAACATTAACTTAATCTTGACTTTTGACTGCCTTAAAAAGCTAATACTAACCAGGTGATACTCTGTTTCTTTCTTAAAGAAGAAGAGCAAGAAGATGAGGAAGAAATTGATGTGGTCTCGGTGGAAAAGAGGCAACTCCCTGCCAAAAGATCGGAACCTGGGTCACCCCCTGGAGGGCACAGCAAGCCTCCCCACAGCCCCTTGGTCCTCAAGCGGTGTCACGTCTCCACCCATCAACACAATTACGCTGCGCCCCCATCCACGAGGAAGGACTATCCCACTGCCAAGAGGGCTAAGTTGGACAGTGGCAGAGTCCTGAAACAAATCAGCAACAACCGCAAGTGTGTCAGCCCCAGGTCCTCAGACACAGAGGAGAATGACAAGAGGCGGACACACAACGTCTTGGAACGTCAAAGGAGAAATGAGCTGAAACGGAGCTTTTTTGCCCTGCGTGATCAGATCCCAGAGTTGGAAAACAATGAAAAGGCCCCCAAAGTAGTAATCCTTAAAAAAGCCACAGCCTACGTCTTAGCTGTCCAAGCTGAGGAGCAAAAGCTCCTCTCAGAAAAGGACTTATTGAGGAAGCGGCGAGAACAGTTGAAACACAAACTTGACCAGCTACGGAACTCTTGTGCATGAGGCGACCTGGGGAACTGGAATCGCGTGGGGTTCTCCACTCCTTGCAGAGGGACAGTAAGGACAGAGGCTCCTGTCGCCAGGACTGTGGCAGTTACATACAGACTCATATGGAATGCATGGTCGGTAACAACCTCACAACCGTGGCTGAGTCTTGGGACTGAAAGGTTTAGCCATAAACTGCCTCAAATAGAACTTTAGGCATAAAAGAGTTTTTTTATGCTTGACTTTTTTTTTTCCTTTAACAGATTTGTATTTAAGAATTGTTTTTTAAAATCTTAAATGTTGACCAACTTTCCCTGTGTAAATATGGTTATTAAATGTAAATAACTTTAATAAAACGTTTATAACAATTATACAAGATTTCAAACATGTATTATAAACCATAATTTTTTTTATTTAAGTACATTTCCTTTTTAAAGTTGATTTTTTTTCTATTGTTTTTAGAAAAAAATAAAAGAATTGGCAAATATATCTTTGAGCCAAATCTTAAGTTGTGTTTTGTCTGTCTCTCCACACAAGCCACCACCATCTTTTCCCCCCATCAATTACAAATGAACACTTGCTAGGGCAGGTTTACAAAGATGAAGAAAGTGGTGCTAAGAAAAGCAAGAAGTTTTCCTTGTCAAAATGGGGCTTTAGCTGTCAGGGTTATGAGATGCTTCCTGTGTCATTGATAAGAGCCACAGTTGATAGTTAAGGAAAGGGCAAAAGGTGGGTGAGAAGGTTAGAGGTAGGGAAAGAGGTTAGAGATAACACTTAAGTACACAAAGGGGGATGAAGGTGGGAGCAAGTCTCCACTCTGAGGAGCCCTGCCCACCCCCAACTCACATCAAACCCAGGAACTCTGCAGGGAGAGAGCTGGGGGGTGCAGGGAATATGTGTCCCCGCCCCCCTTTTGCTCTTGGCCTGCTGCTCTCCTGTGCCAGCCCCTTCACAGGGTTATCACCAGCCTTGAAAGCCCTGGGAGGAGTGTTTCCACACACACTACTTTAGTGACAGGGAAAGAGAAGAGAAGAGAAAAAGCTCACAGGGTTCAGTATCTTGCCTGTGCACACATGGAGAGAATCCGGGTCCTCAGTGGAACCATTCCTCTATGCAACCCCACAAAAGATGTACTGTTCTTTTCCCTGTAGGTCAGAGGGGAAACTGAGGCACAAGCCCTATTCAGACCTAGGCTGTCTGCCCAACCAGTTGGTCTCTATAAACAGTCAGGTAGGAATAAACTGGCCATATTTGAGAACAGGGTCCGTGATCCACACAACCCAGGCAGGATAACATTCTCAATGTCAGCATTTAAACCCGATCCAACATCGTAAGTTCTCTTTTTGTCTTGTTACCTGGCTTTGTTTTTTTATTTTGAGTTTTCATTGTCTAATTTTTCTGTTCACATTGAGGAGCCCACAACTCAAATCCTTCCTACCTAAGAAAGTTCCTTCAGATTGCTCCTTGCTCCAGAACGGAGCCGGTTTGGAAATGCTTCTGCTCGGATCATAAAATCAAACACGCTTGGCCTCATGTCATGTGAGTCATTACTTTAGAAACTGCAAACTCTCCTTCCAACCACTTTCACACCCATGACACATGCTTGTCATTAGTCCATGAGAAGGCAGTTTTGAATGAATGTCTTATTAATTATAAGCCACGGAACACCCACAGCCCAAACCAGAGCACCGTCTAAGGCAGAGAGTGGAAGTTATCCTCGCTCTTCTTATGACCTCATTGTATCTGTTTCAGAAAAGGTTCTCAGCTCCCTGCTCTGCCTTTGGAATTTTAATCCACCACCACCTATAAATCAATAAATAATTACTGTCTCTGACCCCAAGAATAATCTATTCAAGTCTAGTTCTTGATCTTCCTTTTGCGCCCTCAGTCCCACCCCCAGCTTCCAGCTGCCACACCCTGTACCCTAAATTCAAAGTTCAAAGGGGTCCAGAAGCGCGGGGGCGCTCTTAAACGGTTCTCTTGGCCCCTTTGTGGCCCAGGCTGGAGTGGAGCCCTGCAGTGACTCACTTGAGAACTGGGAAGGTGTTAGATTGAATCACTACGTCCAGGCAAGCCCAAAGAATCGCGAGAGGGTGCCTCACTAGGAAAACAGCCTCGTGTTCCAGGCCAAGCGATCGGGAAACGACGTGAAGGATGCCGAGCTTGGCTGTAGGACTGGAAGGGAACCATTCCAAGCCCGATTAGGCCACCTCCATCCAGACTGACCCATCTAGGGACTGGGCTGGGCACAGGACAGATGCCAGCTGCTTTCCAGAAAGTCAGGCTGACCTTGACCACAGTAAAAGTTGGCCCTTCAGACCATCCTGAGAGTCCCAGGGGTCTAGGATTTGTGCAAACTGATTCATAGATAATGATCAAGATTTGGGCTGGAAGGGAGAGGTTCACAATTTACTCCACAACAAACAGGGAAGAATAAGCGAATACTGAGTCTGTTTTTACCCTTGACACTGGATTTAAGGGCTTCCTAGGGGGACTCCTGGAGTGGTTTCGCGTGGGGTAGAATGTACAAAAAAGGAAGGAAGTGTTTCACACTGCTGTTTGGACACGACAAAGGCAATCAAAGTTATAAAAGTAATCAATCAAACTTTAAAATGAACAAAGGTTTTACAACTGCAGGCTAATACTTAGACCACTCAGAGCTGGGGTGGGTAAGCAAAAATCTGCCGCTCCTTTAAGACAAACTCTGGCACAAAGCTCAGGAAAAGGGACAAAACGGCACCTTGGTGGTTTTCTGCGGCTTGTTTACAATGATCTCTGGTTACTTCAGTCACTTTTTAGTGTACATGCTGGCAGTCTCTGGAGCATTTCTTCCCAGCAGTAAATAATCCTCAAGGTGGAAAACACTAGAAGATGACCCTCATGCTTATAGACAAACATCCTACTAGATCTCTTTACCAAAAACTCCTTTAAGGGTATAGACTACTCTATTCCTATCTTAAAGGAGGATCAAGCTAGAAATAGTCAGCAAGATAAACACAGAGACTAATTCTTAAAAATGAAGCTAAGGCCGCCCATGTAGCCCAGTGGTGGGAATTTGCCTAACATGCATGAAGCTATGGGCTCCAACCCAGTGATGTTAAAAAAAAATGTTTAAATATATATAAAATAAAGCTAAAATTTTTATCACTCACCACCGAGGCCTTAGCATTTCAGCTCTTATTGTTCCAGCTTCTTCAGTGGAAACTGGACAACTGGTAAATTTAGGGGAAATGTCAGTAATGCCAGCTTTGCCAAACTTTTGTGAAGGGAGTCTAAAAGACTCTGAGTAGATTTTCTTTTTCATTTTATTTCATTCAATATTAGTCTCTACTAAGCTCTTCAGAATGACAGAGATGAAGGAACAAGTGTTCATGGCATGTAGATCTTTTGAGGCTGAAAGGAATGTCCTTTGTTTTTGAAACAATGCCTGGAAGTTCACCCACAGTCCCCAACACTTTCTTCCCATTGTCACCCCATCATCCCATTAAGGGATCAACTCTCCCAGGCAGCCAGAGGTCGACAGGGCAGGGACGGGGTGAGCTTAGGGAGTGCTCTAACCCTCAGTGCATGCCTCTCGCCTGCCTGGCCAGCCGCATCGGCACAGTGCACACCTCACTGGACGCCCACAACAGCCCATCTAGGAAACAATTGTTGCCGGTGACAACACTGAAGTTTAAACAAGTTAAATAGCTGGCCAAAGTCACCTAGTGCCAATCACAATAGTAGTTAATGTTTGCTATGTGCATTGTCTTACTTCACCCCCAAAGCAGTTCTTAGGAGGTGAAAAAAAAAAAAAAATTCTTTACCAAGGATTGAACCTGTGGCTTTGGCACTGAGCTACATCCCTTAGCTTTTTAATTTTATTTTCATTTTGAAATACAGTCTCACTAAATCACTGAGTCACTCAGGCTGGGCTCAAACAGTATGAGGTAAACCGTATTTGTACCCAGAGTCCCATATTGCAAATGAGGATACTGAAACTTTGATTAAGTCATTGGCCTGGGGGCTAGGGAGATAGCTCAGTGGAATAAGTGCTTGCCTGGCAAGCAAAAGGTCCTGAGTTTGATCCCTGGTACCATAAAACAAACAAACAAACAAAAAAGTCATTGACCTGCAGTCCCTGAGCTGGCAAAGAGTGAAAGCAAAAATTTTGTATTTATTTGCACGTATTTATTGAGCACCTACTACGCACTTGATTGTGTATTCATTCACACTCACCTGTTGAGCACCTTCTGCATGCTTGATTATGTATTCATCCGTATGGATCTATTGAACACCTGTGTCTGATTTTGTTCTCATTCGTACGTGTCCATTGAGTACCTACTCTGTGGGTACACAGCACGGGGAAAGGAAGAACCTTGGAATAGTAAAGAAGATCACAAAGATTCTGCCCCAGGCACTTACGGACTAATGGAAAAACCTAAGAACCAAGCAATTAGATTCTAAGTTATCTTTAAAAAAAAAAATCCTTCCCCACCCCACCCTCCTTTTAGTGCAGGCTTCAATTCAGAGCCTCAGACAGAGGCTAGCGGTCTACCGCTGTGCTGCATCCCAGACTCTAAACTACTTCACAAGCACCGCTGGAGAGTTTCCTGCGCAGTATCTGGGAGCTCACACACTGGGAGCTTCTACCCCTCCACGAAAATAAACTAGAGGATGTGGCCCAGGAAGTGTTGAGAGGCAGATAAAAGAGAAGCTGTCCTGGAAGGGATGGAGGACACTAAGGTGGAGTCACCCAGGGAGGAGCCTTCCAGCTCAGAGGTGGATCAGAGATTAACCAGCAGGCCCCAGCGCTAGGCCCCTCCTTTACCTTCCACCCCTTCTTTCTGTCCAAGCTTAGATAGCTGCCTAGGGGTCCCAGTGCACCCTGCGCTCCTGCAGTGCCTTGAGGTGGGGGAGGGGTGCAGCATTGCCTGGAAATTGGTACAAATGCAAATGGAACCTGAATTAGAATCCCGAGAGGTAGAGATGCTTAGAAACCCTGGAGAGCTGGATGAGGTTTTGGAACCTCATCCAGGACAGGCATGCTAGCTGTCTTTCTAGTAATGTGATTCCTTTTCTGCTTAAAACCCTTCAGACTGGGCACTGTGGCACACGCCTAAAGTCCCGGCACTTGGGAGGCTGAGGCAGGAGGATCAATGAGAGTTTAAGACCAGCCTTACCTACAGAATGAGTTTACACCCAACCTGAGTTATGTAGTCTATCTTGAAAACAAACAAACAAAATTCAAGAGGATTTCTAGAGCCTCGTGGATTAAATCCAAAGGTGTCCTCCAGGCCCTGCTGGTCCAAGCAGTTAATCCACCACCAACACCATGGATCCCCAGCTATCTGACCGCTAGGCAGGCTCTGAGAGTATTACAGGCAGCCTAGTCCGATAGAAATGAATAGTCTGACAGGGATGGGCCCTGGAAGCGGTCATTGCAAAAGAT